TTTCCGCTGGCTACAATGCTATTAGCTTCGAGGATTTCAAAATCTCCCTTTCCTTCGAGAAGTTTTATGAAAAATTTGATTGTTTTATTTTCCCGGTAAGAAGGTAATGCGCTGAGCCATACGTTCTCAAAGATTACTGATAGTCGGTCGAAATCGGTATCGTGTAGTTTCGCAAAGATTTCCAAACCATGAATATGAAGCCGGCGCCTGGGAAAACAAATCGCCCGTCGATTTGATGTCCCATTAAATATGCGTCTGTTTCTCTCGATAAATTTATCTCTACAACAAGCTCTCCTGACGATTCTTTTCGTCTGATGCTTCAAATCGGGCACCGTCCATGTAGCAGAATGGTCCCATTTGATCAATGATCCAATCATCGGTGTTCCGCGACTGACAGGAAAACTAACTGACGGATACAATTTAGAGATGTCGGGTTGCGCGCCGGCTGTATACATCTTTCCCACATTAAATAGTAAAAAGATCAAATTATTTGAATGATTCTGCTTTTGGAGACCGATATTAGTCACTGTGGATGGTAGGGATTTACGCAGAATCGTCTGTAGCAAGCAATGTGGCGCGATTTTCGATGGTTATCGCATTCTTCGGGATATGCATAATCGCCTCCTGAAAAAGCACAGGTGACAGCATATTGTTCACGTGATACTCCGGTGAACAAAATTGTGCGAGTGGGCTATCCCATGCGACCTCGGGTACCGAACTAGAAATCCATCTGGTAGATCTTTTCTTTGGCTTCGGCACAATCATATCGAGGGAAGCGCGAAATTTGGATTTAGCTGGAGCAATGTATTTACTGTGATAAGCAACGCCACAGCATTTGATCATTTTGGCAAACACATCTTTGCTGTTCAGTTCCTCTACGAACTTTTTCACAGATACGGGTGGACCAGAAATGGTAACCAAATCCTCGGAATTATGACAGGCTGGAACGATATCGTTTAAACACATCTTCTTGACTTCCTCCCAATTCAAATTTGCCACCGCCATAGCGCCTGGTTCCAAATTGGATTCTATAATCGACTTGCCTCTATAATAGGCTGCCAAAATTGTTTGCTCTAGGGTAAACGCACCATCGGCATACGAGCAACTTATTTCGCCAAGGGAGTGTCCAATTATACCATCTGGTTGCACACCCATAAATATTAACATATCGACGAGAGCGATTTGAATGGCCACGATTGACACGGTAGCAACCATGACGTTTTCGTATGTTTCATCCGTACCGTTAATGATGATATTCATTAGATCAACATTGTGTTCCTTTAATACATCAGCGCATCGTTGTAGACTACGCTGGCACGTTTCGATGTCAAGCAATTCGCGTCCCATACCCGGCCACTGAGTATTCATACCGGAAAATAAAAACCAAACGGGACGTTTCTCGTCATAATTCGCCTCGACAATCTCGCGCGTACTATCATAAGCGAGTATTTCATAGCCACGAATGTTATGATTCGGTATGTTATCACTATGCACGGAGTACAGTAGAGATAAAAACTCATTGTCTTGTCGATGCTCGTTTGCCTTGTTCAATAATACCTGTACAGCTTCTTTTGTACGGCCCGATACGGCGACCAGCTTCGGCAATAGGTGCTCTACGGTATCTAATGATATTTTTACCTTCGAATTGCTGCGCAGAATGACGTGCGAATTCGTACCACCGGCGCCAAATGAATTGATACCCACAAAACCGCCGTTCCATGACGTAGCTTTGTCAAGTACGCGAATACGTCCCTTGGTCAACGCGGGAATCTTTGGATTTGGAGTAACAAAGTGCAGATTCGCCGGAATCGCACCGGTTTCCATCGCAATCAGCACCTTGGCGATCGCGCACAGTCCACTGGCAGCTTCGCCGTGTCCCATATTTGATTTAACCGAGCCGATTAACAGCGGTGTCTTTCTGTCTTTGCAAAACAACTTATCGATGGCACCGAGCTCCTCCGGATCACCCGCTCTGGTACCGCTACCATGCGCCTCCACGTAAACTATGTCTTTGGGATCAATATTCACCTCATTGTATATTTTCTGCAACATCAGGTACTGAATGTCACCATTCGGATACATGATGCCTTCGGGCTTGTAGCCGTCCGTGTTTATCATTGTGTTCATTACTGTAGCATATACTCTGCGCGCGTCTGTCATTTTCTGCAGGTATATTGCGACCACTGCTTCGGCTTTCACGTAACCGTCAGCTGAGATGTCGAATGATTTACATTTACCTTCTGTGGATAGCATATTCTTTTTATGATAATGAAGATAGTGAACCGGATTAAGCACAATATTCAATCCGCCAATGATCGCTGCGTCGCAATCGCCAGTGCGTATCGCCACGACTGCCTGATGCATAGCAGTCAAAGATGAAGAACAAAGTGTATCCACCGAAAAGCTGGGTCCAATTAAATCGAAGGTATAAGAGATTCTGTTTGCCATCATTGCTATGCTACTTCCGAGCCATTCATATCCTACAAAGAGATAATTTATAGACGATAATTTTTTTTAACTTACTCAAAGGATGTCTTGACTGAAGTTTAAAGTGTTCTTGTAGCAAAAATTAAAATTTTAATAATGATCGGTACGCCATTATTAAAGGCAACAATTTAACTGAGTCTCTCATCATGTTTACTTTGAATTAATTTAATTAATAAAATTAATTAATAACAAAAAAAATGTGTGCCATTGGAGGGTGTATGCTGTAAATGATGTGTAATAAAATTTTACATGTTAAAGAAATATAATAGAATTAATATTTCGATGTTCTGTGACCCTTCTCATTGGTGATAGAAGAACATTAAATTAAAATAAAAAGAAACAGAAAGAGAAACAAAAATAAACTAATTGAAAATATGCAAATCGCTGCTTGGTATAAATAAATTTCATTTTAAAGGTCATAATATATATAGCAAAGAACACAAACGTGATTTAAAATCGTTCAGACTCTTTTTTCCTTTTTATGATTATTATTAATAAGTTATTATTCATAGTTCTTATTTACATTAATAAAAAAGAAAAAAATTTTTTTCTATTGTTCTCAAATTATCACGCTTTAACTCTTATTTGCCAATTTTAACATTTATATTAATTTTATTAAATAATATGACATTAATATAAATATCATGTATTATAAATCTAATTTTTAAACTTATATATGTTTTTGTGAAAAAATAATGTTTTAATTATTATAATCGTATATTTATTTCAAAATCTTATATATGCTTTTTTTAACTGTGTAATATTTCAATATAAAGAATTTGTCATTCTTTATGCATTTTTACGTATATTTCATATATGTTTAATATTGAATATTTCAAAACTGTTTTAGCTAAAAAATATCTTTTTATAATATATTTTTAATGTAACTTTTCATTTTGGTTCTTACATTTCTAAGATTAAATAAATAAAAATTAGTTTAATTATTTAAGAACATTGTTTCATAATATGACTTTAACGGGTAAAAATTTTCACGATAAGTTTTAAAATGTACTTACCGTCCGGCTTGGTTTTCCAAAAATCATTCGCATCGGAAGTGGAAACACCAATGAACACCCCGGTACGCGATTTTTTCAAGGTGGAAGGATTGACACCAGCGTCAATCAATGCCTCATGTGTCACTTCTAACATAATGCGAAGTTGCGGATCCATTACATGCGCTTGTTTAGGAGATATCTTGAAGAAAGAAGCGTCGAAACTGTGAAGATTTTTAAGTTTGCCAAATCTAGAAGGTGAACCGTAAAGACCCGGTTTCCAACGTCGCTCGTCCTCAGTGACCATGTCTGTCCCTTTCATTAAATTTTCCTTAAATTCTTCAATATTTGATGATTCAGGCAGACGGCCTGGAAAATATCGATGTATTATAAACATTCATCTTATAATAAAATTGATGTTGTGTCATAACCACTTGAGGTAATATAATTACCTGAAATGCCCGAAATGACAATATCACCTTCAAAATAATAGGCATCTTGATCTTCGAATAATAAGATTTTGCTTTGACTAAATTAACTTTTCTATCTCTCTGTAAAAATAAAAATTCTTTCTTCTAATTTTAGATTACACATATAATCGTTTTAATGGAATTGAATTACGTTCATTGTATAACTTTATTTTTATTGAAGTTTCTGTCATAATATTTTAATATAAAAAGACAAATGCATAATAAATAATTATTTAAAAAAGAAAATTAATTAACTTCTTTTTTTATCTTTATACTAACTTTCCTGGAATATAAGAAGAACTTATTTTTCAAAACTGATTGATTTAAGCGGAAAAAACTTTGTGTCTGCTACATTATTCCTGTTTAATTCTTTGAGTCACTAATTTTTTACGACGATCTACTTATCCAGAGTTAGGAAGTAACGCGTTATACTTGTAACACCGTTAACGTTATAGTTACTTTTTTTGATAACGGACTGGTAACTGCATAGAATGGGGAAAAAAGCACCTTTTGTGGACAAAATTTAGCCGACAATCGAATTCTTAACGATTAAAATTTTTTTTTAATTTGTTGGAAATTGTATATGCTTTAAATGCTATATGCGTAAATTTTGATTACGATCCAAATTAAAAATGGCAGATCCAATTAAATGGGCATAAATATCAAAACTGTACGTTTGCGAATAAATTCGTAACAAAATATGCATGTATTTATGCAAAGATGTTATTATGTGTTTGTAGTCGTTAATTATGAATCTGTAGTTGAAAAAATGATGGATCCAAGAGGGCGGAAAACTTTTTACAAATAGTCAGATTCTCATGAAAATTTCTAACGGATTTTCGGGATCGCTGAATTTGAGAATAAAGTGACGAAATAAGAAGGCAAATCCAATGTTAGCTAAAGAAAAAAAAGTTATTCGATTTTCATGAAGATTGGTTGTAATAAGGTTGTAATTTTATGGTTATTGATTATATAAATCTAAAGATCAAATTTTTTAAACTGAACTTTCATATCTAAAAAGTTAGAAGTGTCTGAATTTGCATCAAAATTAAAATAAAAATATTTTTTGGTTAAAAAGTATTTTTAAACTAAAAAAAAGTATAATGGAATTTTTATTTGCGTTAAAAACATATTTATCTTATTTAAACAACAAATTAAATTTATTTAATATTAATTATAATTATTTTAGCATATTAATTTAATAGAAAAAAGTATTCCTTTTTAACTATCTTTTTTCTGAAAGCATGGATCTTTTTTCTATAAAGACTGACTTTCGTTCTATTATTTTATAATATGAATGTTATATAAGTGTATATCATGAAGCAGTAAATAAGCTCTTTTATCAACGTCAAGGTATCAGTCATAAAAAGAGTTGTTTTTTTCAAAATATGAAAGTTGGATTTGTCTTCTTGAATTTTGTCATTTTATTCTCAGATTCAGCAATCCCGAAAATCCATTAAAAACTGATTTTCATGAGAATCCTACTTGTAAAAAGTTTTCCGTCATCTTGGATCTGCCATTTTTTTAACTACAAATTCATAATTATCGACTACAAACACATAATAATATTTTTGCATAAATAAAATAAATTATTAAAATAAAATAATTATTAAAAATAAAAAAAATTTATAGTTATATATTTATAGTTATATTAAAAATAGTACATTTCATTTAAGTTCTTTTCTTAATAAGTTTTTAATAAACAATGAGCGACGACTGAAACTTTTTACATATTTACATACGAAGACATCAAATGGGAATAACGAAAGAAGTATAAAATAAATAAATATTTATTTTTACTCAACCTAATTACTTTAATCTGGACATATATTATCAAGATCATATTTCTGAATAACATGCAAAAAGTTTCAGCAACTAAGAGATGCGTATTTTATTATAAGTGCCCATATAACCATTAAGGGGGTGAAACAATCGCTTTTTTTTCTCTTGAAAAAATCGCTTTTTATATTTCTGAGCAAATATCATCTAAACAATAAAAGGTTTGAACGACAAAAACATTTCAAATAAAAGTTTTATGGCTTTGAATGTCCTTTATAATCATATTTTTCGATAATATCATATTTTCGGAAAGAGACTTAAATTTAAAAAATGTATAAGCATATAAAAGTATGAACAATAATAAAAATTTTAAAATTAATACATAATGTATGCATACTTATTTTTATTCAATTGTAGTAGAACGAAACCGTTGATGTTACCATATGTGGTGTTGTACTAAACTGCTGTTTCGATCCGACAGATGCTTTTATAGTAATGCGTATCTGTATGCACTGAAAACATTATATTCTCAACTGAAGAATATGCCACTTATCTTTAGAATATACTACAGATAAGTGGTATATTCTTAAGTTAAGAAGAATATGCCACTTATTTTTAGAATATAAAGATAAGTGGTATATTTTTAAATTAAGAATACAAATTTTTCAGTGTAGTAGCGCACGTATTCGTTGGACATGTATTTCTAAAATTTTATATTAATGTCATGTTTTTTATATATAAGCATAACAATTTTAGTTAGTTGCAATAAATTATCGTTCTTCAACATTTAATTTTATAATTTGTATCCTTTTTATCTTTATACTTCTATAAATTTCCTTTTTTATAAAGTCTGTATTGGATTAGCTCTTTGAAATTTTTCAAATTGGCATCAGCTTTCTAATAACTAATGAAAAATATGTTTTTTTTTCGTATTTATACATATTTTGATGGTTTTAATTCTGACTATCATATTGGATCCATCATTTTGAATTTTTGAAATTTGTCTTCAGATTTGTAATCCGAAGCGACAAACCGAAAAACAAAAAGTACAATTCACAGAAATCCACTAAACAAAAAGAATTGCGCCAATCAAAGGAGTAAATTAATTATTGCCATAATATATGATAATATAATTGTTAATATTGTTATAATATAATTGTAAATTGTTATAATATATTGTTAATATTGTTATAATATAATTGTAAATTGTTATAATATATAGATATGAAAAATTATAATATAGAATTATCATTAACATATATTTATTGATAAGTCATGGCTATCTCTGCAAGATTCTGATGAAAATAGTGCCGCCATGAGAAGTGAGCACTATACTGTTAACAAATACGGATGACATGCGCATATAGCGATATAGAAGTATTTCTGAATACAACTTTATAGCTGAGTTTTGCACTAAATATACTGTAAGTTTTGGTATAAAAAATTTAAAATTGAGAGGGGGAGAAAGATTTCGAAAAATGACATTTTCGAAAAATTTGTTTACACTGTTATAAATCGAAACTATAAAACTTTTCACATCGAAACTATAAAACTTTTATTTGAAACTTTTTTTGTATCTTTTATCGTTTGGATGATATCCGCGCAGAAATACAAAAACTAATTTTTTTCAAAAGGACGTTTCCCTTATGGCCGTAATGGGCTTATAGCACGTATAAAGAAATATGTCTGTTATTTTAGTCTAAACTACAACATATCCGAAGCTCATCAAAATCGGTGGAGTACACTTCCAGCCCTTTCCTTATGAATATTTTCTAATACAATATCATTAACTGATGCAGCAATTGACAGCGTTAGAAAAAGATGGACATTTATTACTAATAATTGTACTATTCCTCAGCTTGAATTCATCTCAGCAATTAGATTCGTATTGAATTCAACGTTTTTCGTTTTTAATGGTGTCATTTACCAACAAACTTATGGCAACACTCTTATGGGTTCTCCTTTGTCTCCTATTATTGCTAATATTGTTTTTCAGGATTTGGAGGATAAAACTCTAACAAACTTGCAATTTACTCCTTCATTCTACGTTAGATATGTTGATGATGTGGCTTTATGTATCCCGTCTTCGTCTGTCAAAGACACATTAAATATATTTAATCTCATTTCACCTTAGAATCCAATTCACCTTAGAAGTGGGTGAGAATAAAAGACTCAAGTTTTTAGACGTCACTATGGTTTTACAGGACAATTCGTTAATTTTTAACTGCCACAAGCCAACATTTTCTGGTAGATATCTCAATTTTTTATCACAGCATTCTCTTTGCCAAAAGAAGGGCACGATAATTGATTTAACGGATAGGACTTTCTCTCTGTCTCATCCTAATTTCCATCAAAAAAATTTTAAGCTTATTGTTCAGATTCTTATAAATAATAACTATCCCTTAAATTTTATATTTCAGATCATACGCGAACATTTAAAGTTTTTAATTCATAAGTCAAACAATAAAGACAAGATTGAGGATAACATGAGTGACAGAGCGGTTAGATATTTTACAGTGCCTTTTTTACCTTCGGTCTCTGAAAAATTTTATTATATTATAAAAGACATTGATAACGTCAGAACGTCTTACTTCAGCTTGAATAAATTAGATAAGCTAATTAAAGGTCATAAAGATCCTCTATCTAAAGCGTTGTCAATGAATATCGTTTATAAGATAGACTGTAATGATTGCAATGCGTCCTATGTAGGCCAAACGGGTAAACGGTTCCAAACTAGAATCGAAGAGCACCGTAAACATATCAATAGAAACTCTTCGAATCGCTCAGTTATTACTGATCGTAAGGTTTTCGGTCACGAAAAATGGGAGAATGTCAGAATCCTGGACAGTGAACCGAAGTTTCAGTAAACGTCTGGTTTCGGAAATGCTTTTTATTAAACGACAAAGTAATGGTTTGAATTTGCAGACTGACATCAAATGTCTACATTATAGGTATATATCGGCTTTAAGCAGGCTCCCAAACATTTATCTACACTGTAAAAAAGTATGTAAAATTACACATATAATCAGTGTAACAATTACGCTATTTATAACGGAAATATATAAATTCATGTACTTTTAAAAATTAGTTTTTTTACTTTTTATTGTGTAAATATTCGTTTATATTTGATGAGAAATTACAAGGTTAAAAGTGTAATTTTTGGATTTTATGTAAATGTACAATTTTTTGTAACACACGGAAACACTGTAGTCGCCAAACCTCTAGATTTGTCTAATAAGCTCATTACTCTACAGCCGTTTGCGTCTCTCCCGGAAAACTCAAATTCTAATACATAGTCTTCTGTAATAAGCCTTAACGATGAAAGAACATCCGTTGCTAGTTTACCAGTCGCCAGCAGAATATCTCTGTTAGAATAAAATTTATCAACAAGTATTTATCAATGTGGTAACATATTATTATTATTATTTCAGAGAGAATTTCGGAGAGAGCAAGAAGTGACGCTCGTTGGAACTTGCCTGAAATTTAATGACGCATAGTACACACTGCAGAGTGTATTTAGATATTTGGTCTGACAATACGTTAACTTTGTTATACATATAAAATGATAATATATTATATAATATTATCACTCTATATGTATATGTATAACAAAGTATAATTTTCCGCAGGCTAGATTTTTTCTCATAAACAAATTACTGTGAACTACTAGTTTATTGTAAAACTTTCTTTTTCTATACATATTCGCGATCAATCAATCACTCGATGGCGAAAGATCTTTGACTATGTGACAATGGAGTTTTCAAAAACGTAGTAGATGTTTACGAAATTTTAGAAATCTTATTTTTTCATATTTGTATATACATACATTTATTTCTTTTTTATGGTGCTTGTATTGGAACAGCTCTTTAAAATGTTTCAAATTGGTCCCAGATTTCTAACAATTAATAAAAACATATTTACAAAAAAAAATATATTAAAGATGTTATTTATTAAAAAATAAAGAGGGTTAACAGTCCGTATAGTAATAATACAAATTGGAAAAGGAAGGCTTTCGGACTGTGACATAGGATGTTCGTACGAAAAAATAATTAACAGTTGAAACGCAAAACAGAGCGACGCAATCCATCACGACTTTTCTATGGACATCTTTAATTTGTTAATTTTTATTATTTGGATGGATTCATCGAGGGAGCTTAAAATCTCAGACGCCTTTTCTTTTATAGTGTATTTGTGATATTGAGGTGAGCTGTGTTCTGTTACAGCATTTCATGTCTCTTATCATTTTTTTTTTATTAATTTTTTTGTTTGATATTCTCAGAAATTGCGTTTTCCAAAGCGTTATACTGACCGTTAATTCATGCGTTCAATTTTTTGTATCCGTTATAACGTCCTTATGATCTCCTTTGTCTTAATTTAGAATTTATATCTTTATTATCAAGAGACACGGTAGTGTCTTGAAGTCGAGTTATCACTCAGGCGCAAGACACACCGTGTATCTTTACGCGAATGGCTAAGTTGCGAGTAATGCATATCCTAAAAAAATTACCTTTTCAGAAAAAGGTAAAAAAAAGAAGTCGAGTCATCTCAGTAGTAAAACATTATTGTATAGAACTATTTTACAAAAAATTATTTTAATAAAAAATTGCTGTATTAAAAAAAATTGTGTAAAATAGTTGTCATAACTATCTACAAAAATTAATGATATATTTAAATAAAAAATTACGTCGAGAATAAAAGAGTGCGATTTTATTTTATGTTTATCAACAGTGTGGTGTGTGTGTGTGTCTGTCTGTCTGTCTGTTGTGTGTGTGTGTGTGTTAGATGTGATTGACTGCTGATAAATAATTAGATGAAGAAAAATTATGTTTATATTTTCGTCGAAATTATTACATCTTTGTCGAAAAGTCAGAATCCCGAATTTCTTCAACGATGAACAGTTGATTTATGTAGCTCGTAATTTAAAAAATTTTAATTATTAAAAAACTCCACGCTGCCAAATTTATTTGTATATTATTCAGCAGCGTCGAGTTTTTTAATAATTAAAATTTTTTAAATTACGAGCTACATGAACCAACTGTTCATCGTTGAAGAAATCGGGATTCTGACTTTTACGACAAAGATGTAATAACTTTCGACGAAAATATAAACATAATTTTTCTTCATCTAATTATTTATCAGCAGTCAATCACATCTAACACACACACAACAGACAGACAGACAGACAGACAACACACACACACACTGTTGATAAACATAAAATAAAATCTCATTCTTTTATTTTCGACGTAATTTTCTATTTAAATATATCATTAATTTTTGTAGATAGTTATGACAACTATTTTACACAATTTTTTTTAATACAGCAATTTTTTATTAAAATAATTTTTTGTAAAATTGTTCTATACAATAATGTTTTACTACTGAGATGACTCGACTTCTTTTATTTACCTTTTTTTGAAAAAGTAATTTTTTTAGGATATCACTAATTTTTGTAGATAATTAAGAAATAACTATTTTGCACATTAACTTTGTTTAATGTAACATTTTTGTAGTTTAAATAATACTATCTCTTGTCCATAAAACAGTTTTTTACAATAACATAAAATTTTTAACAATTTAATACTTACACATGATTAACTTTTTTATACTTTTTAAAAAAGTAATTTTTGAGAATATGTTAAATATCCAAATAAATATATAAGCAAAGAATCTGCCACCAGCCCCGTCATTTCATTAATATGACGATCTTCTCTACTTAATATACTTTTTGCAAACTTCGTAAAGTTAAAATATTAACAAAGCTACATTCTTCAATTATTATAATTCCAGGTGAAGTTCACTTTAATAAAATTTTAATTTTAGGTTTAGTTACAAACCTTCGACATTTTCAATGAAGAAAAATCGTCTCTAAATAACTTTAGAAATCTGTTATTAATGTTACTAGATAGTGTGATAGTGCAGGAGATTGCATATAGGATGAGTTTTATTTCGTGTACCAATTTTTTTTATGCGAGGGATTACTGCCCAGGTAGCAAGCACACGTCATTTTGACGTTCCAAACTAGTCATTTTTGGTCATATGTTGTCAAAATGACTGATTATTGTTACATGACTTTATATTGACGTCTTGCTATAACATTATTTTGACGTCATTTTTCAGTCATGAAATGACGATTATTTTATTATAAATGTCATCATTAGTTAGTACATCGATCCCATAAAAAAAATCTTTTAAAATTTTTTATATGACATGACTTATTTCGCGATCAGACTTTTTATATATTTATATATATATATATATATATATATATATATATTTATATTTATATATTTATTTTTTTATATTATATTATTATACAGGGTGGCCCATTTAATTTCCCCAGCCAAATATTTCGGAAAATAATGAAAAATCAAAAAAATGTTTCAGACAAAAGTTGTATGGTTTCTAGGGGGACATAAGATGATACCATTAGTTTGTCCTTGAAGAGTTAATTGAAGGTCACCTTCAATTTTTTAATTGGAACCTACATTTTCTCATTACATATTCTTGTAGCTTATCTCGAGAGCTTTCCACAACTATCCAACACTATAATAAAATATTTTTTTATTGAGTACTTTTCGAGTTATGAGGCTTGAAATCATTTCTTAATTTAACATAAACCGTAATATATCTAGTAAAATATTCATTTTTCGATTATTTTGCTTTAATACTTTTATGTACAAAATAATGAGAGAAATCAATTGGTGTAAAAAAAACACATAGTTGTTTCAAAGAAAAAATATGTAATTGTTAATTGCAAATTACATATTTTTTCTTAAAAATAACTATGTGTTTTCTTTACACCAATTGATTCCTCTCATTATTTTGTACATAAAAGTATTAAAGCAAGATAATCGAAAAATGAATATTTTACTAGATATATTACGGTTTATGTTAAATTAAGAAATGATTTCAAGCCTCATAACTCGAAAAGTACTCAATAAAAAAATATTTTATTATAGTGTTTTGGAAAGCTCTCGAGATAAGCTACAAGAATATGTAATGAGAAAATGTAGGTTTTATTTAAGAAATTGAAGATGACCTTCATGTGACCTTCAAATAACTCTTCAAAGTCAAACCAATGGTACCATCTTATGTCCCCCTAGAAACCATACAACTTTTGTCTGAAACATTTTTTTGATTTTTCATTATTTTCCGAAATATTTGGCTGGGAAAATTAAAATAGGCCACCCTGTATATTATATTTTTATATATATTATATTATATTTATGAAATAGAGAGATGAATTGAAAAGTTTAATATTACTGGCAATAATGAAAGGAATATTACTGAGATATTACTGAAATAGTCAAAATTATTAACTGATTCTTTCTATAAAATATTACTGATTTACAGCGCTATACTTATATAATAATTACTGTAATCAGTGATTATTTACTGTTTTTCAGTGATAATACACTGATTCACTTTTAGAGAGTGCTTTATTCGACAACATTATTAAATATATTATTATGCTAAGAGAAAGACGTCAAATGCGGTACATGTCATGATGTCAGGAATCTGTGACATTAGATCGTCACTTTTACGTCTTAAAAACATCAATTCGTGACGTCAAGAATAATCAGTGAATGACTAATTTGAAACATCAAAATGACGTGTGCTTGCTACCTGGATGATTGCAATTGCAATAAATTAATCGATACATAGGTAGCAATTATTTGGATAAGTATTACATGCGATATGCATGGTCGATTCAAATAATTGACATCTATAGGTACTTTCCGATTCACACATGATGCGCATAAAGTGACAGAAAATGTATAATAATCAAGAGACACGGTAGTGTCTAGAAGTCGAGTCATCATCACTCAGGCGCAAGACACACCGTGTATCTTTACGCGAAAGGCTAAGTTGCGAGTAATGCATATTATCGGTTCTCAATAACCGCTGAATCGATTAAATTCTTATTACATTTAATCAATTGCTTGGGTTCGATTTATATAAGGAAAGTGTCTTTATTTTTGCTCTATGTGCTCTATAAGCAAAAATATAACGATGCAAAATCTCAATGTGAAACTTTTTGATTAAGAAACGTCACCGTCACCGTCGTGGCTGCATTTTTCACATATTTTTCTTGTACGGTTCGCACGTTTGACGAAAAAGGCGCTGTGTTCTCGTGACGATGAGAGATGTATAATTTTTTTATCATGCGAGAAATTACCGACTGTAATTGGAATGAATTGATCGGTACGGATAGTATACTTTTGTGACGTTCCGACCAATAAATTTTCTCTTTTTACCATACAAACAAATTCCTTCTTTACCCTGTTGGAATTTGTTCAATTCTATCTAATTACGAAAGAGCAAGATTGAAGGAGATATTATTTTTATTAGTATTAACGTTATAATTGCATTTATCTTTAATTAATCTTACTCATATTCTAATTACTTAGTTACTTTTAATAACTATTTTAACCAAATTCATTAGAGTTATAGTATTAAAATTATGAAGATATAAAAGAATTATAAATTCGTCTACGAATAATGCATTGTACAAAGGAGCGATTTTAAAACGCCTTCGGGATTCAGTTGGCGTTTATCTATCATGGAATGTAAATCATAATCACAGATAACGACCTTTACTAGTAATCCATTTCTCATTATGACATAATTTGTAAATTTTTGGTTAATTATTCCACTTAAGTAATATCAGGTCTAGGTAATAAGAACAAAAACATTCAAAATTGTACATAGCCAGCGTTGGAAGAAGAAAGTAAATCTGTAATAAATTGTAAGGTTCATCTATGTAATTTTCACTCGGCGACTCGCTCTCGCTAATCAGCTAAACATAACATCTGCATACCAAGAATGGCAGATCGATATTCGAATGGACAAAGGAGATGATGAAATTCGCCTTATCTAAGTCCCCACTGACTCGTACCAAGGAGGACCAGCGCCTATCGGCCATGGTCACGGAGGACCAGTAGATTTTTCTCCGGCCTATAGTTAAGACGAACTCTGATTTTCGCTGATTGTTCACTGCATTATTCTCTGACTTGATTGTATCTACCGATACACTTATATTTTATACAATATACGTAGAGTTAATTGGAAAGTTCTACGAGATTTTATTGAGAATCACTCTCTACCGCCGAGTTTTAAAATCTGTCATCCCTTGGAAATTTCACGCTACTGGATCTTTGAATTCGAGCGCTTCCGACAGATTTAAAAGGAAGGAAGAATCTCAAAGTAGTCTCGTAAAGATCCTCTGAAGATCTCGTAAAACGGAACCTGATATATAAATAAAGTTATTTAAAAATTCCGATAAAGTATAACAGTTTCTTATTCCAAAAAGAATGAAATGATGGGATGAAAAAAATTATATGAAAATAAGAAAATTTATATACGTAATATAAAAGAAACGAAACTTACGAAACTAACGGTTTGTAGAATTATTAAATTGACAATACTTCCAATAGCTCTTCACTGATTAATATTAAAATTAAGGCCAGACAGTATTTATAAAGAAATTTTAGAGGAAAATATAGAAGAAAATATAAAATAAAATTAATAAAAATATTAATCTTAATAAAAATATTAAAGATTAAAAACAACTTCGTAAGCAATACTGCAGTTACCAAATCAGTTATCAACGTACACTATATTTATTATCACTTTGAACTTCCTTCTAGATGATTCTTGATGATACACTGTTTCATAATGCATTTACATGTCGAAAATGCATTATGAAAGTGTATTATAAAAAACATATATATGGTTGAATTCAGAAAAATACTCTCTTTCTTCCATTATTACAAAAATACAAGAAATATTTTTAAACAACAACAAAAAATTTTTTTTTCAATAAACAAAACTTTTTTTTTATTTCTGTTTATGCCACTTTGTAACAATTAACTTGCCGTTAAACTTTTATTTCAAACATTTTTTTGTATCTCTTGTATTTTAAGAGGTATACGCAAAAAAGTGTAAGCGCCCTTTTACCCTTGAGGTCGAAAATTATACCTTTAAAGTGAAAACGGGCACGAACTTTTTATATCGTTATTCATGTATTAAGTACCTCTACATATTCTCAAAGTTTGATTCAAATCGAAGAGTTCGGGTTCGCGGTGTTCCCTTGTGAGTTATATTTAATAATTATCGGATAAAGTCAATAATTATTGATTATATAAAATGGGGTTATTAATATTATTAATTATTTGTTAAAATTCATAATATATATATATATATATATATATATATATGTATTTTCGTGTGCTAACATATGTCAATTTTCATCGCGGCGGTTATTTATTGTATTTCTACTTTGATTTTATTGAATTTTATTATAAAATATATATGCATATGTATACATGCATTTTGTTCATATAGTCATGTATATGCATATATATATATATATATATATATATATATATATATATGATGTCTACTAATAGTATAATATTAGTGGAGAATATTTCATTAATGCTTAATTATAAAAGAAAAGTCGATGTATTAATTTAGTACGCACTCATGCGAGCGTGAATTTAGAACTTCCTTCTGCCTTTAGATCAGGCGAGGATGTTGAAAATTCCAGTGGAGATAACGCAACGTGCTGGACTTGGCCTTGCACGCTTGTTCGACTCTTCGAGTGCACACGCATAATATTCTACGTGCAATTATTTGTAAGTATACGTACTAATTCACTGTTTCTCTCGTGTTTTCGTATTTCGTTTTTCTTGATGAAGAGTGCTCATATGCAAATTTACATGTATTTTATAATTGTTCATGTGCATTTTATGATTGTGGTAGCTATGAATGTTTGTTCCTAATACCATTATTTTATTAATTCAGGTGATGCTATGGCCCGGGAACACCTGTTGAATAGGAACACGAATATAGGGCGTCCATATAATTTCGTCATATGAAAACTTGCTGGTAAGTAATGTTTTGACTTAAATATATTTGTAGGGTTTGGTATTATGAATTTTCGTCATTAGAGTGTTTGAAAAAGGAGAATTATTATACGTGAAGTTTTATAATATGAAATGTTAATATTTTATAAAGGCTTAGTATATGTATTCATGTATAAGAGAGCATGATCGTAAATGTTCGTGGGGGGGTTTTTGATGGCATCCATTGATTTTATTCTAATTTTTAAGTTATTTTAATCTAAATTTTTAGTTATCTTGATCCATTTATGTTAATTAATTATTTTCTTTCTTTTCACTGGGCTCATGTGTATATATACCTTAAGTATATATATATCGTCTATTACATTATACTTATTATTTTGCAATTTTATGAAATATTAACGGCTCTCTGCTATAAATTATTATTCTTATGACCATATATTATTTACATTAAATTTTCAGATATCCAAGAGAGGGTCACATGACTTCGTCATATAAGGTATTCTTATTCGATTTTTAGGTAATATCAGTTTAAATTATTATTTTTGTCACCGGCTTTTAGTATTGGGTTGAATTTCTTTATTGACTTATTACGAGTGAATATTTATTTATTATTCATTTATTTCTATATGTATGTATATATATATATATATATATATATATATATATATACAGGGTTGGGCAAAAGTCCGGAAACGGTCAAATATCTCGAAAAGGATCAACTATAGCGAAAAATTGTAAATAGCAAAGTTGTAGGGCTTAAAAAAATGTACCTAATGATGACTAAAAATTTTACTTTGAGTGGAGGACGAAGATCATATAAAAGTCAAATTGAATTTTTTAAATGGAACCCCCTATTTTTCATTACATATTCTTGTAGCTTATCTCGAGAGCTTTCCAAAACACTATAATTAAGTACCTTTTTATTAAGTACTTTTTGAGTTATAAGGCTTGAAATAATTTCTTAATTTTACATAAACCATAAAATATCTAGTAAACCATTCATTTTTCGATTATCTTACCTTGATACTTTTATGTACAAAATAATGAGAGGAATCAATTGGTGTAAAGAAAACACATAGTTGTTTCTAAGAAAAAATATGTAATTTGCAATTAACAATTCCATGCAACAACTATGTGTTTTCTTTACACCAATTGATTCCTCTCATTATTTTGTACATAAAAGTATCAAGGTAAGATAATCGAAAAATGAATGGTTTACTAGATATTTTATGGTTTATGTAAAATTAAGAAATTATTTCAAGCCTTATAACTCAAAAGTACTTAATAAAAAGGTACTTAATTATAGTGTTTTGGAAAGCTCTCGAGATAAGCTACAAGAATATGTAATGAAAAATAGGGGGTTCCATTTAAAAAATTCAATTTGACTTTTATATGATCTTCGTCCTCCACTCAAAGTAAAATTTTTAGTCATCATTAGGTACATTTTTTTAAGCCCTACAACTTTGCTATTTACAATTTTTCGCTATAGTTGATCCTTTTCGAGATATTTGACCGTTTCCGGACTTTTGCCCAACCCTGTATATATATATATTCTGATTATTCTTATTGAGTTATTTGTAGAGTCTGATGCTAGAATTTTATTATCAAAATTTTATTCTTAAAATTTTTAATTATTAATATTTTTATTAAATTATGATCTAAGATCGTATATTCATTTTTATTTATTTTCAGGTGCCAAATAGGGTCTCGGCAGAGGGATTAAACAATTCTGGATGGTTAGCACTGTGGTGTCGATGGTTGAGGGTATATAAAAATGTTATTATTTTTAAAGGTAGGTTCTATTAAAACTTATGTAAATTTATTATTATTATTATTTTATGTATTTGAGTCGCTTGATTTTAATCATTGTGAATGGTTAGCGCTAAAAATATAAGATTTTAATGACTTTATCGATTATTAAATTTTGTCGTTATTTTATGTGGTATATTTTTTATTTATAATTTTATTTTTACAGGTCTTATAGAGTCGCGTACGCGTATGGGAAAAACGATGGAGCACCCATGGACGTATTATGAGGCTCTTCATATATGATTTACGGATAGTATTAGAATCTTTATTATTGATTAAATAATAGAAATCATTACGTATCTCATATAATTATTCGTTTGGACTTAAGTTATATTATTGTGAAATATTTTAATTGTTATGAAATTAATATTTCGTTACTCCTGTATTTGTTATCTTTTTCTTTTGACGATATTAAGTCGAATATCGGTAGTTTTGATTTTATTAATATTACTCAGAAGGAGATTTTGTCTATTATTCGTGCGATTTTATTTTGTATTTTGATTATTGGTATCATGTATTGAATTTTTACATGTATATTATTTAGTGTGGAGCTATTACTTATTTGTCTTTATGATTTCCAGAATAGACTGAGGGCAGTATATTGACGGTCAGTGAGAGAATAGGCATTATAAGGCATTATCATCGCAAAGGCGTACATTTATATATCCGATGGGTTGGAATTGTTATTCCAGAAACATATTCGGGAGCTCGAGTAGTAAAATTTAGACATGTACTTATCTCGATGGATTTGTTATATAGGGCGTTGAACTACTCGGTAATGGTGTCATGATTATATACTTTTAATAATTCTATTGTAAGAGATGTCGAAATTATAATACTTATACTTGATTAATTTGATTATCACTGTCTATCTATACATTCTGTGGATTGGGAATGTTGCTCTGAGAATATATCCAGGAACTTGAGCAGTATGTATTTATCTCGATGGATTTGTTATATAGGGCGTTGAACTACTCGGTAATGCTGTCATGATTATATACTTTAATAACTCTATTGTAAGAGATGTCGAAGTTATGATTCTTATACTTGGTTAATTGATTATTAATGTTACGTTTTTTAGTTAGGATTGTTACTACAGCGTGTTTTATATTTGAAAATCATATTGATTAAGTTTTGTGATCAGGTCGTGAAGAGATATGAATTTTCAGGTTTTAAATATTAATGTGTGAATTTTTTTCTGTCAAGGGTTTTTGATGTTTAAATAATAATTTCGTTTGCTGCTTAATTCATGAGCTCTAAAATATTGATTTTTATCTTGTTAAAATTTGATTTAATGAGTTTTGTCTTACTGAATTCTATTTTATTTACTCAAAATACTGGGTTTACCTGTTTAGGGTAAACTCAGGCCTTTTATGAGACTGAATTTGATTTAATTGAACAGTTTAATTTATTTAGCGACTTTGCTTTTTTATTAATAGTTGAGTTTTGATTGTTATTTTATAATTTCATATTTACCCTTTTGTATTTATGATTAGTTTTAACGTAAAGTTCCATTATAATTATTTAGTATGTGTATAAATTTATTGTTCTATCGATTATGCTTATTTACTTGATATATTATTGTCAATTTTCCATTTTATTTATTTGTTAATCGTTTGTAAATTCATTTTATCATTGTCTATTATAGTTTTTATAATTGTGCGCGGGTATTATACCTTTATTAAATTTTTCAGATACAATATTTTGGAGTTAAGCAGCGTTGATCATAATGACTGGCTACATTATGTATGGTTATGAGGGGTATTTTATTTGATATTTTGGTAAGGCTAATTTAATCTATAGAATTTTCCTTATTCAATTATTTTATTACTCGCTTAAATATTGAGTTCATTCTTCATATGAATATATTATATTGATTTGATCATCGCGTATTGAGGATTTTATATCGTATATTATTTATTTTAATTATTTTGATTGATTCTGTCAAGATTTTTCCAATTGTTTATCAAGTTTGTTACTGAAAAAATTGTTACTAAAAAGGAGGGGTGTCAATAAGGCCGTTTTTTCGCCCACGTCAGAATCACTCCAAAGTGTGATATTTTCTTCCTGCCGATGTAGCTCACAACCTCCTAGAACCGTTTGCTGTCCGAGCAATTAGAGGCTGAGAATGGGCAAAATCGGCAAAAAAGGCTTGAAATCTCAAAAATCAATAGGGTTTACAATATTCTCTGAATTCACAATGAGAAAGTGAACAGTCAATGATTGAGGAATTGGGAGTAGGCGCCGGAAAATCTTCAATTAGAAGATTATTCGTCATTAGATTGATGACATCTTCACCTGACTTATTGTCAGACCAGTCTGAAATGTTCTTAGCTACATCTTGGATGTATTGTGCGTAGGATTGTGATGGTCGTTTTTGAAGTCTTTCAGAGTGTCTTAAATACCCCAAATACCAAAGGACGGATGCGACATGTGCACAACAACCAACGGTTCTAGCACCGACCTTGCATTGGCAGTACCAGGAAATGATGGGATTGATTCCTTGACTATATTCAATCCACAAGTTATACACCTTCGATGATGTGTGGCGCGATTGTATCTGGAGACGTAAGATATTTCTCTCTTGCCTATGGACGAACAGTTGATACATCCCATCTCCAGCTGTGTGCTCCTCTGCATAAGATTGCGCTTGTTTCAATTGATATGAGCCAATGGTCAGATGAATCAACTCGTGTAAGGTCAATTGAGGGAAATCAGGGATTGAATCCGCAATTACGGGTTGCCACATCACTCTTTTCCTGGACCAACCTTCTCTTTCAACTCTTTCCTGGAGGAGGTTCGGCATTTGCGATAGACGCAACATACGCTCAGCAATAATTGTATCATTTGGATCGTCACTGATTCTCGGTGATCTGAAAGCATTGCAAAGAGCGGATACAATGCGCACGTAATCTCCCACATACGGTATCTGAGAATTTGGGAATACATGATCTAATGCTTTCCACTTCTTAAGGAGACCGTTAACCGCCTCTATCACCCAGCGTATTTTAGTCACGAGGCGTGATTCATTGGCCTCAGATGTAGTATGTTGCGAACCTTCTCGGAGGAAATGGGGCATTTTAGTTATGAGACCTAGATCTTCCAACATCTCGAGGCAATCTCTGAAACCACGATCCACCACGAAAACATCGTTAGGTTGCAACTAAGATCGGAGCCTGCTCGCGTCAGATCGCATTATGCTGGTCAAAATGCTTGCATCATTATTTTTACCATCCGCGAAGTAAGGTCCAAAAACTTCTAAGATGTATCTTGTTGAACTTACAAGAATCATGGGTTTTACTAGTGAACGTCCTTTGTGGAATGAAAAAGTTCGTCTCTGGAACTTGTAATTAGAACTTTTCTCTATATACATATACGTACCATCGGCTACAAGGATACAGACATCCTCTCCACCTGCGAAGAGCGTTTTAGCCATGGTTCTCGTATGCTTTGTGATAAAATCTTCTCGAGAGATATGATTTGTTCCCAAAAAGTTCGGGACAAACATTGAAAGGAGAGCAGTATGAGCTGCAGCTATCGCCCTACCTACTCTCCTCTTTTGAAGAGCGAATAAGGTAGACAAAACTGAAAGGGAAAGACCAGTACATAGTTTCATTAAAAGCAAGGCAAGACAAGTCCGAGGAGAACGTCCAGATGTAATCTAATATAACCAGAGATTGAAGCAAGAACGGAGTTGAATTGATCTTTCTTCAACCCGGTCAGATTATAATAATCGTCATCAGTAAGAGCAGGTGGACAATCAAAATTAAGTCCTTTCCGAAAAGCAACTGAACGTAAGTTTTGTAACAACCCACAAAGAGTTTTATCGTCTAGAATCGAATAGTTTGACTTTACTTCGATATCATCTGTTGCTGTTTTACTGAAAAAATCATTTTCCAAGTGTCTCATACAACATCGAGCATTTGGCGGAATGAATATACCTCTGTCTATGAATATTTGTGTTCTCGCCATAGGAGATATACGAGTCAGTTTCTTAGCCTTCTTACATACGATGCATCTCGTCCCGGATGCTGTGCAGCCCTGGATGTTGACTCTTATCTTCACTGAGGAAGGAATGTTGCTTGATTCTGAGATGTTGGAGCGCTGAGGAGTATCATTTGTAGCAACAGATTCAGTACTGATAGTACGTGAAACGCTGCTTGTACGATTGCTCATAATGCAATCGGATAATGGATATTAACGTAATAGTGACAAAAAAATAAGCAATGAAAAGTAATGAAAACGAGAAACTAAGCTACTGAAGATTAGCGCACACAGTTTATGCTCTGAAAGTGCGCTGATCCTTGATAAAGACGATTCATTTAAGCATAAGTGCGATGAAAATAATGCGGTGACACATACAATGCTTCCAGTTCAAAAACGCATTAAAAACAACTGTGTATCCAAGTCGATTGTTAAATCTGTTGAGAGGAACAAATGCCAGGAAGGAGATAGAACAACTAAGCTACTGGTCAGATGAAGAGTGCACAATACTATTTGTGCTCTAAGATTGTTTTTATCGTTGATGAGAAACCGTTGATTGAATGAGGTGAAGAACTAATGCGTTGGGTCCTGATTTCGTGAAGACAAACGAATGACGGGAAGAAAAACAAGAGAACAAAGCTACTGAAAATGTGGATAGTGCATAGTACTATTCTCGTTTTGGAAATACATGAATTGTTAATTATAATGGAACAATTGATTATTTGTCGTACATACTATGCAGCAGAACACAATAATCTGAATGAAGATACCAATCTTAATAAATGCTTCGCGAAGCTGAGCATTGCATTCCATGAAAAAGAAGTCCGTTCCGGAAAATATTCTTTACATCTCCTCACTGAGGTTTGGAATTCAAATATTTTTTCGTAATATGTGATTTCGAATATACATTGCATTCGCAAAATAATCTAATTCCTTAAAATCAAGTTTGGGCTTACAGTAGTATCGTCTGATTCATCGCAAGGGATGCTATTGTATGATTGTTGAGTAATATGGCAATCCGTTCAAAATATCAGGCTTGATTTTATCTTGAATGCATGAAGGTCAGATGAGCTTTCTTTCGTATTTAAAGCAGCGCATACTCTAGTAGTTTTTGAGAAAATATAGTGATGAAAGCTCAACAATAGCATACTGAAATGAGACCGGCACTACAACCATGTGAAAGACTCCATTGATTTTTGAGATTTCAAGTTGCCCATTCTCAGCCTCTAATTGCTCGGACAGCAAACGGTTCTAGGAGG